GGGAGAATGCTTCAGGCACGGAGGGCTTCCATGCCCTTCTAGAGAGAAGGGTGGGGCGTATCTAAGGAACCACACACACCCCAGTGCCCAACTCAGTGGAGAGTGGTCCACCAAAGCAGGGTGTGCTCAACAGGCTGGGTCTGGAAGCTGGGAAGGGTTGGCCTGGTGCCCCACCGATTGTCCCCCTCCCTCTCACCAGCACAGCCATGAAGACTACTCTTTGAGCACTCCAAAAAGACAATGATTAAGGATGCCCTTAGCCCAGGCTCTCGGGTTTCTAGGATGCCCCTTCTCACGGCCCATACCCTATGTTCTGGAACTGGAGGCTTGGCCCTCCTGTTGAGCACTTTACCTTAAGGCTGGCTGTGTCCTGGGAAGAGAATGGTCACCAGAGCTCACGTGTTTCCCTGGTCAGGAGAAGCTAACAGGGTCTGGGCGGAAACATTCCTGGGCATATTCTGTGGCACGAATCTGATAGGGGTGGTCGATCCCAAGGCCATGAGAGCCTTCATTTCAGGGGACATTTGGTCCTCTCATACCACAGTGCTCCAGCTAAGTCTTTGCAAAAAGACCACCAGAAAATGAATTGCAGTTTATGTGCCAAGACCAACATTAAACATTACTGCTTCTCCCCAAATTAAAAGCAAGTGAGAGAATATAAAAAAAAAATGACTAACCCTAAATGCCTAAATCTCCCATGGGTATGTTTGTGAGAATCATCTATGCACACACACACAGGACACACGAAGAACTTTCACAATCTATGTTCCACAGCCTCCCACGTCTACTGTCACACACGACTGACTGATGCAGGATTCTGGAGAACCTGTATTAGAGAAACACAGTGGACTGGGAACAAGGTCCTCCCAAGGCCACTCACTGTCTCTCTTCCATCGGTCTTCTTGAAATAGAGGAAGAAAACTTTCTAATGACCTTCATTAAAAACAGAAAGGTAGAAAGTGGGGAGCCCAATGGCCACCAAAGGCACTTCCCACTGTCAGGAAGGAGACTCTGTGCAGAACATGGGCCTAGATGTACCTCCTGGGGCGAAGAATGCCTGTTGTCTAGATGAACAAGTACAGTGAACTAGACAGCCAAGGCATGAGGGGTGCTTCCTCTTTTTGGTTTCGTGGACCCCTCAGGCAGGGGATGCCTATGGACTTCTTCTCAGAATCATTTTTAAATGCATAAAATAAAATATATCAGATCAATTATATTGAGATACAATTATCAAATATTAAAAGAACTAGTTCATTTTACAGATCTTGGACAACGAGCTGGGACAAGAATTAAAAAAGACTGGGCAAGAAACTCTGTGGAAAATAGAGAAATTCCTTGAATGACCCCAGACAACTTGAATATTTTAAATAGGAACATTCTTTGTGCCATGTTTTATTTCCATGAGTCTGGAACACACTGATGATGGGAGTCATGGGGCACCCCACATGGAGGACTGGTTTCTAGGTATTGGGGAGGACCACAGTCTAGAGCACAATGATAATGGTAGTCATGGAGGCCACAGTCTGGGGCATAGAGAGGATGGGTGTCATGGAGGACCAGAGTCTAGAACACAATGATAATGGTAGTCATGGAGGCCAGAGTCTGGGGCACAGAGAGGATGGGTGTCATGGAAGACCACTGTCTGAGACACAATGATAATGAGTCATGGAAACCACAGTCTGGGGCACAGAGAGGATGGGGAACATGGAGCATTGCCATCTGTGATCTCTAAAGAATGGGAGTCTGGGTGCACCACCATCTAGGCACATAAAGGATGGATGTCATGGAGGACCATGTTCTAGTGAACCCAAAAGATGAGTGGCCCAGAGAGAGTACCACAGTGTAAAGTACACAGATGATGCCAGCTACGGGACATTACATTCTCTGGCACCCGGAGAGGGGAGTCATGAAACGACCAAGTGTCTGACACACAGAGGATTTGAGTCGTCTACAACTCATGATTCAATTCGGGATTTAGGCAAGCATTTATTGAGTGCCGCTCTGTGCCAGGAACTGTGATGGTCCAAATACAAAATGAAACCACCAGTTCCCTGCTCCCACAAGCTTACATTCTATTGGGGTGAGAAGCAGGAGAGGGGAGCTACATGCTCACAAATAAGTAAGCACAAACTATGTTCAAACTAAATACAAATCCATGCCAGGGGCCAGAGGAAGCAGGAATAGCTCCTGAAAGGGGAGGGAGTCTTGCACGGAAGCCAAGGTTCCAGGTGGCAAAGGTACGAAGGGGAGTGGCAGCGGTGGGGAGAGATGAAATGGGCGGGGCCTGGGAGTTGGAGGTGGGTCTGCCAGGCTGGAAATCACCAGGCACAGTCAGATTGTGAGGGGTCTTAAATACTGGACAGAGGAGCTACTAGGATAGGACCATGTGAGTGAAGAAAAGGGGAAGGTGGAGAGGTACTATGTAGAGAGGATCAGCAAGACCTCGAAAATGCAACGCTGGGAAAGCGTTCTGACAAAAGCAAACACAGGTCAGACAGGATCTTATACTAGAACCAAACCAAGGTCCGGCGCGGCTAAGGCGGCGTCTCTTTAAAAACGGGAGCCGGTGGAGGAACCTGCCTTTCATAATTATCACCGAGGACACGACCTTAAACAGAACATGGGACAGGGAGGTCAGAAGAGACGAAACAGTTCCCTTACATAAAACCAAACCTGGCAAGGACCGAGTCAACCAAGCAAGCTGGAGACAGCGGAGGGGACTGAGAAGGATCTTTGTGTTGAACACCTTTGATAAATTAGGTCTTCTCACCAATCTAGAGAAGCACCACCCAAATACAAGCTCATGAGAGAGTCTCCAAAAAATCAGTGGTTAAAAGTTATGAACAGTTTCAAAGGAAAAATTACAAACTACTAACAGCCACATGAAGGAATGCTTCAAATCACTAACCAACGAATAGCAAAATGAAAAACAGTTCAGAGTTTTCACCTCCCCCCTGCAAATGAGCAAAGCCAACACAAGAAGGGAATCCTCAGTACTGGGAGGGATATGAATTGGCCTGTCTCTTGTGGGAGTGACTAAAGGGCCCATTAAGTGACACAGAGATCCCATTGCTGGGCACAAACCCCAAATGAGCACAGACAGAAAAAAGAAGTCCCCCCCCAAAAATACCCAACATTTATTACCGTACCTTTTGTGGGAGCAAAGAGCTGGAAACAGAGTAGGTCCCCATCCCCTGGGGATCAGTAACCAAACAGTGGAACGTAAAGGCTATGAGATATCATTATGCTGCAAGAAACAACACAGGAGGGACTCAGAGAAACCTGGGAAGACTTCCGGGAATCCATGAAGCAGTGTCGAATAAGCCGAAACAGGTGACACAAAAGTAGAGACAGCGAGATACGCGATAAGGGCAAACTGCTCAGAACTGAGTCTGCCGAGTGAGCCTGGCCACTCCTGCCTCCCTTGCTGGTTTGAAGAATGGGGGCAGGAGGGGGAAATGCTAGACACACTGTGGGACAGGATCAGGGCACATGGCTTTTGTTGGACTGTTTTTTGTTTAATCTTTATTAAACGAGGTAGGGGACGAAGAAGGTATATTTGGAAGTGAATTTGTTTTGTTTAGACTACCTCAGAATTATCACGAGGTAATAATTGTAAAATTCCTTCCTCCCTCCCTTCCTTCCTGTGAATTACCATGACATAATTTGTAAAATTCCTCCCTCCCTCTCTTCCTTCCTGTGAATTACCATGAGATAATAATTGTAAAATTCCTTCTTCCTTCCCTTCCTGGTAGTAGGCTTCAAGTCTTTAAACAAAGTCTAAATATTGGCCACCTGTCAGACAGACGCGCTGCTAGGTAGCCTGGGAAATGCTGCTCTGCTGGCGCCTGGGGGCGTAGACCAATTCTGAGCCGAGCATTCTGGGGCATGCATTTCATCTGGTGGGCAACAAGGAGTTTCCAAAGGATTTTGAACCAACAGTGGCGTGCTCAATCCAGGGGCAAAAATGAAGCTATTATCCATGTTGAAGGGGCGCTGGAGAACGTTTCACACCCTGGAGAGCAAGGGGAAGGGTGGTGTGTTTGCGGCAAACCAGAGAGATGGTCATTTCTGTGGCACGTGGCAGAGACAAGACGGAGACGGCTCGGGCAGCATTCTGCCTGAGAACATCATGGACGCATGAGGCCTGACAGCCAGCCGGCCTCGCCTCACCTCACCTCAGCCTCCTTGCGGAGAGCTCCCTTTCCAGAAATACTCGAGAGAAGGCCTGAAGATGTGGAAGCATAAAAGGGCAGAGACAGAGTGTGTGTCAGAAAGACAAGCTGGCCCAGGGTGACGCTGAGAGAACGCCCTTCTGAAACAAGCCAAAGCCCAGCTGGGGCATGCTGAAGCTGGTGTGATGGCAGAACCCTGCCAGGAGGGAAGACCTGCCCAGGAGAAGGTAGGGGCCCAAGCCAGGGCATCCCAGGGCAGTCTGGTGGCTCACTGCCGTCTTAGACTGGCTGCTTATGATGCAAAGGGCCCAGAATTTCATCAGTGTCCCTCTTTGGGAGCCCAGAGCAACACGTTGATGTCTGTTAGGTTATTCCATGGCAAAGACAAATCGAGGCTGGGGATTAAATACTTGCTAAAGTAAGCAACCCCTGAGGTGGGTCACAGAGGTAAAGATGGCCATGAGCAGGACACCCTCCCGAAGAGCTTCTGAGCAAACGGGGCCTGGGGTGATTTTTTCAATTCAATTCAAATATTTATCAAGTGCAAGGCGTGGTGCTGAGCCTCGGGGACACAGAGGCAGAATGAAGACCAGTCCCGGTCCTCCACAAGCTTACATTCTCTAACTCCTACGAGCCAAACACAAAGTCTCCAGAAAATCACCCAAAGTATGACCGGGGGATCCTGCAGGCCTGTGCCCAGGATGTGTACGGGAGGGACAGTGCCACCGGCTGCCTGGAAAGGCAGGTGGGAGCTCCTGCAGGAGCCTCCGGGGCCGAGTTGCGGCAAAGGGACACAGCTTTTGGAGCCTGGGGGGGGGGAAGGGTGGTCAGTCCCATGCTTTAGAAAGGTCACTGGCAGTTGTGGAGGGGCCGACACGGGAAAGGTAGAGACTGGAAGGAGGGAGGAAGACCTACCCCTCATTAGGAGACTGCTACAAGAGATCAAGTGAAAGAGAGGGCCTGGCAACGGAAGGGTGGGCCCTACTGGGTGAAATCGATAACGAAGGTGAGCCTTTTGGTGGAATTCCACAAACCAAAGCAGGGAGGTCCGGGGAGACCAGTTCTTCAGGGGACTACATCACAAAGGGCTTGAGCGTACTAGGTCCCCTGGCCTCCGTCTGGAAGAGCCAATTTCCAACAATTCAGGGAAGGCAAAGTTAAGACCCTGGCTCCTGAGGTGAGAACCTAAGTGTGCAGATTCCAATGAAGTCCAAGCTGTCTGCCTGAGTCTGGGGGGGCTCAGTGAGGAAACGCCCCTGCCGTACCCAAGAGCCGCAGCACCCCAAGGACCTGAGGATGCAGGACCCTCATTGTAGGGGAAGATGAGTTGAGCTGACTTGCCCAAGGTCACCCAGGCAGTATGGCATGTGGGCCCCATGCTGCTCCTCAGGTTCAAGGCCAGAACAAGGGAGTCTTTCACTGCAAGTTAAGAACAAAGGCTTTTTTTAAAGCTTTGCTAAGGGCAGGGGACAGCACAGAAAGCAGAGGCGCAAGGTTGCCGAGCCCAGTCAGAACCAGCAGTGGCCACAGCGCCTAAGAACAGTTACTGAAGATGCACTTAATGAACAGGCTGAAAGGGCCGATGTCAGCCTCCAGCTACAGTCTCTAGGGGAGAGCCATAGGGATCTGCCCCCAGGCCCGTTCTGAATGAAGGAATCAGTGACTCAGATGGGCAGAGATGGCACACTGAGCAAACCCACAAGGCTGTGGAGGGACAGCCTTTGGACAAAATCTTGCAAAATGCTATTTAATATGGACAAAATGTGAACTCAATTTGGATTTTAAAAATCAGCTTCACCAACATCAGATGGGGAAGATGTAGCCAGTGACGCACAAAGTCAGTGAGTTGGCCTAGCCTGAGCCTTCGAATCCTGAAAGGGGAGGTCAGGACCATTGCGACGCCCTCTGGTCGGCCCCAGCGAGGAGTTCTGTGGCCAGCTCTGGGCCCAGGACAAACTGTGGTTTCTCGTTCCCCTGCCGACCTCAGGATAGGCACGGATTTAATCCATCCGTCAGGGCAGTAAGGTAGGCGTCATTTCAACAAAGCCTGGAAACCCCCCTGACTTCGTTTAGCTGGGGGGTGAAGATCCGTGTCTCAGAAGCAACTCCACCAGCACGCCCGGAGAAGTGGCTTTCTGCGGAAGCGATGCTCTGAGAGACTTGCCTTCTGCTCACCCTCTCCCAACAATTCCACTTCTCCAAGAACATGCTCCCAGGTCCCAATCCAGTCCAGCTCAGAAAGGGGGAGTTGATATGCCGACCACCTCTCATCAAATCCGCACATTTCAAGCCTCTATCCAATTTCTAACTAATTACTGACTGAAACATAAGCAGAGGGCGCAAGGCATCTGCGGCCCACAAAAACAACTCAGCCTCACTGATGACCAGTCGCTGACCCCACAAGGTCGGCATCCCAGAACAGTGAGGAATGAAGCCTACTGGTTCAAGATGGGGGACCCTGGATCCCTCTGGGGCATCCTGGCTCAGTTTATTTTCCAGGTATTTAGAAAAATGTCATGTAGTGTACCTTGTGTAGGTAACCATAATTAATTCTCTCTTAGGCTTTCTTGAAAAGGATAAAAGGGGGACAAGCAAAAATCCCACTTTCAGGTCAACAACCACAACTGCCTGAGTGCTTGGCTCTGTGCCGGGGCTACAGGGCAAACAAGGTCCCTGCCTGAGAGGAGCTTGCCTTCTCCTCAGGGAGACATGTATCAAGACAAGAGAACAGAAAAGAGTTGTAAAGTAATTCAGGGAAGGATCCCGGGTGGGGTGGGGGAAGGAAGCACAGGGGAGGGTCAGGTGACAAGCACTGCTTAGAGGCTCTCCTGGGCTCCCCACCCTCTGGCTTCTGCTCTAGGGAGCTGGAGGGGACTGGCACAGCGGGGAGAGGAAGAGCCAGAAGCATGACCAGTCTGGGCCTGCCCCCAAATGGAAGAAAGGCCTTATCCGGGCTGGGCCCCCGCTCGAGGGATTCCAAAAGGCACAGGGACAGAGGTGTTCTGGGAACAAGTTGACCAGTTTACTACCGGGGGTCTGCACCAGCTGGGGCTAGGGGTGAATGGGAGATGCAGCCACCTGGTGGAGGTGAGGACACGGAGGCAGAAGCCATCGAGGTGGGAGCAGGGTGAGATCTGCAGGAAAGGGAAGGAGCCCTGTGTTAGACATCCAGAGGGAAATGCAAAACAGGGCTCAGGAGAGAGATGAAGGGGAGTACCGAGACGGGACAGTCTTCTGAGAGGTGAACTTACCAAGAAAGAATTGAGTGAGAAGAGAAGGAAGTCCTTAGAAGCGCACTCATACATAGGACGTAGACCGTGGATGAACGCAGATCCCGCAAAGGAGACAAAGGAGGAGCAGGCAGGCAGGAGAACCAGGAGAGGCCAGAGGCACCAACACCCAGGGAGAAGAGAGTGTCCAGGAGGAGAGCAGAGGCTAGCCAGCGCCGTCAAGAAGGCTGAGGGGCAAGAAAAGGCCAGTGAGTGATGCCTGGTGACCCCAGCCAGGGCAGTGTCAGGGGAGGCTGGAACACGCCATCGGGTTTCCACGGTGGCCTGTCCTGGAGCCTCACACTGGCACCTCATTCTCCCCCCCACAGCTAAGCCCACACTCTCCACTGGGCAGCCCCCAGGTTGGCCGGCTGTGCATTCTGGACGGTCCACAACGGAACACACAATCCACTTTAAAAGACCACACACAAAGGCTTCAGTCCAGTGAGAGAGAATGAACTGAGTTTTATTTTGTCCTCTCTGAGCTGTCCATGTACCAAAGAAGGGAGGGGGAGAGAGTTCTGCTTTACACTTTCTCTCGCAGGTGAGCATATCCTTGGTACGGAGCTGGCAGCAAGCGTCTCTTCCGTGTTTCTGGCTCCAGGAGGTTACACCATCAGTACCAGTGTAAGTAATGGTCAAGTGAAGAAACACGGGCAGGCCGCTGGAGAGGTCTCCGGGATTGACCATGGATGTACCATTGCATAAAGTGCTTCTGGATTTAAAAACTGGAAAGCTGGCAAGTGTCTCCACGCTTTGGAAACAAAGAGGAAAAGCGTCCCAGAGGAGATCTCTTTGGAGTCCTTCCTTCCCAGTGGATTTCGTACTTGGCACTGCCCTCCTAGCCTCCGAGGCGCTGGCCTTCGCCCCACGCGAAGCCTCCTGGTCGCTCTTCAGGCAAGGGGTTGTAATTGGGATCATCATCTGCCGTATCAAAAATTGCCTTCCTAAAAACAGATGACAGAAATAATCTATCCCCCAGCACTCGAACCCTTTAGTCTTGGGGACCTGGGGGGCAGTTCTGAGGGGCTGGACTGGCACAAAGCTATGGGAACTGTTTGGCACTGAGTGGCATTTTTACCTTGGATCCTAATCAAGCAAACATTACTTTTCAAAGCTAAGGCCAATTCTTTTTTCCTTTGAATGTGTAGATAAAACAAGTATTTAACCTATACAAATGCATCAAACAGACCCACCAGACAACATTCCTCACCCCGACCCCCCAAAATCCAACAAAGTTAATTATCACACCTGGACAGCTTTGAGCAGTCAGGCAGACTTTAGGCCCCGATGTCCCAATGGACAGAATTGTGGCATTTCGGTCGGACCAGACACCGCGGCCCCAAACGGCCTGCTGAGCCACACACTTGCCCACTGAGGAGGGGCGACCCAGCCCACTCTGGGGTAGAACTCACTGTAAACAAGATTTTCTTGACATCCAACCCTGACCACTGCCCCTGGCTCTGCCCTCCGAGGTCGATAAGATGAACCCTTTCAAGTACCTAAATGCGCACTCAGCTCCTGAAACATTTTCGTGGGCATACGCAGTAGTACCCAGATGTACATGTTATCACCCCCCCCCCCACCCCGGGGGCCCACCCCCACTTCTCACCACACCAGCATCATCACCACCATCAATGACATCAGAGACTAGTCCTTTTATCCCCAGCGGCCAACTTGGCACCTGGCATAAACCGGAGCCATTCCCCATTCTGGCCAGCCACCCTGGACGCTGGCTGGTTCAGCAACATCCTTCCTAAACTGGTCATGCAGGCCTGACTCAGGCCTGAGGAACGCCAAGGTCAGCAGTGTGGACCATCACCTCCGTACTCCTGCAAACTATGCCCACTTCTGTGTCATACACATGAGTATAATTATCTGTATTACGCCCAAGACGGCTAATGCCACAATTCCAGGCTGACTCAGAATGAGCCGCTGCCCCTAAAACTCTTGGGACTTTTCCAGAAAAGCTTTTGTTTAGCCACGCACTCTCTGACCCTCCCCTCCCCCCACCTTATACTTGGAAGATATACAGATGTTTTCAGAAATCACATTTAAGAATATGTTTCTCCCTCATTAAATTTATTTTGTTAGATGTGATTTTAAGTTCTAGCCTGTCAAAATGCCATGGACCTTCTCTCTCATGCTACTCATCGGCTGCCTTCCTCCCAGCTTTATCTGACCTTCAGATCTAGGCCATCCCAAGCCACTGGGGAAAACATCAGAGGACATGTGCTACCAAGGCCTCCTTCTGGGCCACTACTGAGCCCTCAGTGACAGCTCTCCCCCGACCCCCACCAACCCTGGCATAACCACATGGCTCTTGGGGGTCACTCCCCACAGATGGCATTTCCCCAGGAAGCCAAGCTCAGTTCCCTGGCCTGTTCCAGCCTCAAGCTTTCCTTCTGACCCTTCCCTGGTTCAGACAAGCCTCTCCCCTTCTCTCTGACCTTTTGAACATAACGGACAAAGGGCTGCACTTCGGGGGGGGGGACCCCCAATTTACAACAATGCTCAGTGTCACCATCATCTCCTCGCTCACACATCAAACACCCTAACTCAGGGCCTCACGATTTCTCACCTAGATGAAGGCCACAGCCTTCTTCCTAACTGGTGTCCCTGCCTCAGTCTCCCCATTCTAGGCCCTCCCGACATCCCTGGTCTAAGGGAAGGAGAGGGCAAGAAGCATTTCTACAGTGCCTACTATGGGCCAGGCACTGTGTGAGCACTTTCACAAGTATTACCTCATTTGAGGCATCTGGATAAAATGTAAACTCCCCTGTCTGGCTTTCATGGCCCCAACCCACCTCACCAGTTCTGGGACATGGATCCTCACACCCAGTGCTCCAACCACCCACCTGCAGGTCCCACAGGCCTAAGGACAGTCTTCACAGACCCGTCCCTGATTTATGCTGCTGCCCATGCATTTCTGTCCCAAACTGCCTCACCTTCATTTTAATTTTTTCACTTTATATTGAGGAGGGTTACATTTACAAACAGACTCTCTTTGGAGTGCACGCTCCTCATGAGCAGAGATCGCTTTGGTCCCGGAACACAGCAGAAGCTTATGACATCCCTGAGAGATGATTTAGAGCCCATCACAATCGGGTGTCGTTCCCCTCCCCCACTAGATGGTCCCTGGTTTTCCTTCCTCCCGTTTCTCATCTCCCATGTGAGGGTCTGGGCCCCTCCCTGTCAGGACCCCTCAGGAAAGCTCGAGGGCTTTCCCCAGGGCCCACCCCCACTTCTCACCACACCAGCATCATCACCACCATCAATGACATTCACTTCAGTCTCTGCAGAGCTCTTTTCCCCCCTAAGCCAGTGACTTCACTGGTGAAGGGAAGGCCCAGTAAGAAGCCTCCCTCTCTGTGGACAATGAGAAGTCAAATGACTGGCCCAGGGTCTCCCAGCCAGGGTGACTCAGAGGGAGGGAGGCCTTGGCTCCTGCACCACACCAACAGAGCTTGGGACATCAGGATGTCACATCCCCTGATACTCTGTCCTGAACAGCCCCCTTCTCTGGTCATCTGATGTTGACTAAATGGGGATGACTCATGTGGTACTGTCCATGGAATCCCCACAATCCGGCACGAGAGAATACTCACAAAATAGTAGGTGTTTTCAGAATTCTCGCTCCCCCTGGCTGATTGGGAAATACATCTTCCAAGAAAAAATATATGTGTCCAACTGCAATTCCTAGAATCAACCATAAGACAAAGAACAGGAGTGAAGAGATAAAAGATGGGGCCTGGGCTGCCTGGGAGCCCGGCCCCCATGGGTAGGCCACCAGCAGACTGCAAAGAAAAGCTCTGCACTGTGGCCTTGCGGGCAGGTGTGGCGACCTAAACGCCTCTAGAAGAGGACAGGAGGAGAGAGCAACAGTGATCCCTTACCCAGGAGGTCCACAATGATGGAGTTGCCCAGTAACAAGGAAAAGCCCATGAGGACCCAGGGCAGAAAGGGGGCCTGGAAGTTGAGAAGGCCAAAGAAGTTCATGCGGACGTACGGATTCCTTCGGCTCCACACGTAGACAAGCATGATAGTGAAGGCCTGCCCCAAGAAAACTAAGCTCACGAACAGACCGAAAAGCTAGCGGCAGGAGTCAAAGAAAACTATCAAAGATGCCGCCCATGGTCTAGAGGGCAAGGAGGCGGGTAGGAAGAATCCAGGGCACAGCCACTGCTCTGGGGAGCCCGGCCAGAGAGCACCAGGGTCAGCCTGGGGCACAATGAGGGTCTAGCTGCGTCCTCCCTCCCCATCCCCCCCACTCCCACTTTCACGGCCACAGCGCCAGATTCCAGTCCTCAGTGGGAGGAAGGGCATCTCGAGGGGACCTTCTCTTCCCTGTAATGCACAGACCCCCAAGTGGTTCTTTCCACACTGGTCTGGTATTTTCACCAGACGGGCTGGTCCTCAGGTCAGACCTGCGGGGCACTTTATAATCGCTCAGAGCCAAAGAAGCCAAGATTAAGAACTTGGATCGTTAACACGAGTAACCAAGAGGGGGCTTCATAGCAACGAGCCAGAGGAGTGGCCCACCTACACCATCTGAGCTGGGGGGTCCCAGAAATCGTGGGGAGTCCTAATGGGGTGAGAAGCCCGGAGCAGCCGGCACTGGCTACAGAGAGGAGGGTCTTTACAACTTCTTGGGGGTCGTCCAGCGGCTGAAGGATACAGTCATTAAGAGTCCCCCAAAAAGGAACATGAATACAAAGTCTGCTGTCCGGCCTCGGAAAGAGCCTTCTTCGAGCATTCGGCAGTAACGGTATCTGAAGGTGGAGTCAGGAAAAAGAAAATAGCCCAAAACACACACAACCATGAGGCACACATCCCCTCAGTCAGGCACGCAGCTCCTTGTCCAGCTGCTCCTTTCCTGGATCCTCAAATACACCCGGGAGCACAGGACCGAAGCAGGGAGGGCCGCTCTGTTCTGTCCTGGTCTCGATCCCCGGCTCGTGGCACAGGCCGGCCCGGGGATTCCTGGCATCTTGCCTTGCCTAGGCCGGGCAGCCAGCGTCATGTCCTGTCCTGTCCCATCTAACCCCAAGGTTGCCTCCTCTGGCAGGAGGAGCCTAAGGAGCTTTTCCAGCCCCTCACCCACCCCGGAACACAGCTGTGACCCGAGCCCACTGAAGAAAACCAAGCCCTCGGGCCTTCCTGCTGCTCCTCTGGGCCTGCCTCGTTTTCACTCCTTGTTGCCTGCTCTGGCCATCCCCTTCCTGCTTAGCTCCTCCTGACCTATGGTTCTGGAGCTTCCTTGGGCTGGGGGAGGGGAGCAGGGGCCGCCTTCCCTGAGATCTAGCTCTTTGACCCCCCCATCCCCTTTCCTTCCTTCTCTATCCCCTCCTCCAAGACAGGGGGTAGGATGGGGGTCTCATCACGTCCATCCCGCTGCTGGCAGTCAGATCCAGAGCAGAACTGGCCCTTCTTCTGAAGAATCTGCCATCAGGTCAAGAACGAAACACTCTGCTCTGAGCTGAGTTCCGGCCAACGCTCCGTGCCAGTCACTGATTCCTCTCCAAAGACAAGGTCATTTTGTGTCTCCAGCCCCCGGCCTCTCTTTACCCATCCTGCTTCTGTGGCTAAAAGCACTTTACACACATCAGAGTCACCTTGTTAGGTAAAGGGGGGGGGGGCAAGAGAACAAGTATTTATTGAGTACCCACTGTATGCCAGGCACAGGGCCAAATGCTTTTTACAAATAATATCTCATTTGACCCTCACAGCACCCTGGAGAAAGACATAGCTATTTTCTCCATTTTACAGAAGAGAAATCCAAGGCTGAGAGGGTGACTTGCCCACAGTCACAGAGACAGTGAGTATTTTTCAGTTCTGAACTCGCCTCCAGCATCCTACCCCATGCCTCAATGGGCAGCCTGTAACATCTCTCAGATAAGGCCCCACCCTGCAGGCCCTCATCATGTCGCACCCTGATCACTCCTGGGGGTCTGCCTCTAGTTCCGCCCCCCCCAGCCCATCCCTCATTCCTGTCACCCCCTATTTCATAAACTCCGCTGGCTCCCTACTGCCTCCAGGAGCAAATTCAAAATGTTGCTTGCCATTCAAAGCCCTTCCTACCTGGCCCCTCCTCCCTTTCCAGGCTTCTGACATCTTATCCCCCCTCCCCCAGCCTCTGGGCCAGCCCACTACCAAGAATCTCCATCTCTCAGCCCTGGGCCTTCTCTCTGGCCGACCCACTCTCCTCTGCCCTAACTACTGTCCTTTTGGCTTCCTTTATCTCTTACAGGAATTCTTCCCCAAGCCCCTTAATTCCAGAGCTTTCCCTCTGCTAATTATTTCCTCTTTACCCTGTCTATAGCTTGTTTGCACATATTTGTTTGAGCTCCTTGGTAGGAACCGGCTTTTGCCTCTTTTCGTATCCCCAGTGCTTAGCACAGTGCCTGGCACACAGTATGTGCTTAATCGAGGTTTACTGACACGGTACCAGAAACAAAAGTCAAAACAGCAAAATAACGGCCAAAATATTGGATTTCTGACAGTCCTTGGCAATCACATATTTGACAAAGGATACAAGAAAATCATATTAAATAAAAAATTGAATCCAACTGGTCCAAAGAACAAGAAATTGGTGATTAATCTCCATATCTGTAAAATGAAAAAAAGCTGAATTAACTCAGATATAATTATCAGAAGTGTTTCAGTAAACAAGCCAGAGGGGAAACGCTACATCTACATGCCTTTTCTGAGGGTAACTGTGTGTGTTTGGTTTTTTTTTTTTTTGGTGAGGCAATTGGGGTTAAGTGACTTGCCCAGAGTCACACAGCTAGGAGTTATTATGCGTCTGAGGCACAATTTGAACTCAGGTCCTCCTGACTTCAGGCCAGTACTCTTATCTACTGCGCCACCTAGCTGCCCCTTGAGGGTAACTGTGAAAAAGTAGGGTAACATTTTGACAATTTACCTGATCCATTGAACCATAAAAGGAAACATGATCATCAGAAGTAGAAATTAAACACTCAACCTGCCCCCTACGGAGCACGCTTGCGCACTTGGACAGCAGGGAGGGAGGAAAACTCATCAACATGCCACAGATGCTCTTGGTTTTGAGAAAGTCACACAAACTTGGTTCAGCTGTTCATTTGGAGACTTTGCAGCTGCTAAGATTTCACATCCAGGGCCTCTGAGGGAGCCTACCTCTTCCGTGATCTGCAGCATTCTATACAGACAGCATTTTTTTCTCACTGAGGACATTTCAACATTCTGACAACCTAAAAACTTGTGGTTCGATAACTGCATTTTAGCATACTTTTTGCGGTGCCCTATGTATTTTACTTTGCACCTGCAGAAACATGCTTTTAAGGAGGGTAAAAGGTTAAAAGCCCAGACCTAGACGCTGACCTGGAAGACCCCTCCGCACGAAGTCTGCCCGACCTATGCGCCATATAGGGACCTCTGACCCCTCCGGATGGAACGTAATGTGATACAATGTAACACAACACAACACAACACGGAAAGTAACAAAGTATACTTTTGGCTCTCCGAGGGCTGACCCAAACTCAAGCCAAAAGGCTTTTTTCCCTTTAACACCCATCCAGAGGAAAGGCCAGCTCCACGGGCGACTCCTCACAGGACTAGGACGCGGCCTCGGGGAGAACGTATTCGGAGGCAGGGGCTGCCTGGGACGGGAGAGGAAGGAGACCGGGGGCAGCGGGCGCTTAATAAGTGCAGGAGCACACAGCAGGCGCCTAATAAGTGCAGGTCAGCCAGAACGAAACCATGGCAACCGTGCTCCCTCCCTCGCTCACCTGGAAGTGCCGGAAGATGAGCTCAGGGTTGAAGTAGAGCTGGAAGGGCGTGATCAGCTCCAATTGCTGGAGGGGAAGAAGAGGCAGCCGGTCAGGCAGGCTCCCCCCTAACCCTCTGCCGCCTTCGGGGTCAGGCCCGACAGCGGCCCCCGCCCAGCTTCCCCTTCCAGGCCCCGGCCCCGCCCCGCCCTCCGCCAGGCCTCCCCCTCACCACGGCGGCCGTGGTGAGCACGCAAGCCGTGGTGTACGCGCGGCTCACGGGCGGGATCTGCAGGTACTCCAGCCTCAGGCTCTGGTACGCCATCTTCCCCGCCCGCCCCGCCCCGCGCGCCCGCGGCGCTCCCGCCGCCGCCGCCGCCGCCGCCGCCGCCGCCGCCGCTTCCGCTTCCGCTTCCGCCGCCGGGGGAGGGACACGGGGAGCCTCTTTCCGGGCCGCGGGCCCACGAACGCCACCAATGGGAGGCCTCCGACGAGCAGCACGTCCCTCCCAATCCCAGAATGCCACCCCCGAGCGCCGACGGACCAGGCCGAGCGCAGCAAGGACGGGCCAATCAATGCCCTCCATTGCTCGCAGTCCCGCCTCGACCCCGGGATTCACCAATCAGCATGGCCCAACTGGAACACAACCTCGGCCAACCAGCAGATCGTTCTCCTCCCGCCTGGGTCTCGTTAGCGGAATCAAATGTCCGTCAGAAATGGCTCTCGTTCATTGGACACTAATCTCGAGGGGGCGGGACACAGGGGCGGGGCAGAACGTAGCAGGGGTAACAGTTGCCCGAAGTTTGAAGGCGGCTGTGTGCGCGAACGCGCGGGCTCCTCGTTCAGAGCGGATCCGGATGTGGACGGCAGCTGAGTCGGCGTGGCTGCTCTCGAGCCGTCACAGTAGGTTCGGAGGGTGCGGGCGCCATCCCGGGGACGGCGGAGGGACCGGGGCAGCGGGGGCTGGGGCGCCCGGGCTGCGCTCCAAGGATGCACCGGGCAGCGCGCACAGCCCCCTGGGACTTGGAGTCAGCTGCTGTCCCTCCCCTGAGTGAGGCGGTCACTCCTCTTTCCCTCTGACTCCCAGTGACAGTTGAGGAAACTGAAGCCAGATCCAGCGCCGCTGCCGTGGGAGGGGGCAGGGCTGGGCTGGCCTGGAGCGGGGGAGGGGCGGGCTTGGTTTTCAGGAGGACCCCCTTCTCCCACTCCGGACGGGCGGCCGGTGGGCTCTGGTCACTGTGGGTGGGCGATGGGGGCAGGTCTGTTGGAGCCCCCATTACCTTGGGCGGGGGTACGGGGATTGGGGGGAATTTTTGGAGCCCGAGGCTCACTATGGGTTGGGGCGGGGAGTTGAGGGCGTCTATTGAAGCCCCCATCACCTTGAGGAGGGGAGGCTGGGGGGGTCTTTTGGAGCCTCAGGCTCACTGTGGGTGGGTGGGTGGGTGGGTGATGGGGGGAGTGGTTGAGGAGCCTTTGGGGCTTGAGAGGCCCCAAAGAGAGGGTGGTCATGATGCATTGTGTCGTGTAAAAACAGAATGCCTGGGGGAAGCTAGGTGGTGCAGTGGATAGAGCTCCAGCCTTGGAGTCAGGAGGACCTGAGTTCAAATGTGACCTCAGACACTTGACATTTACTAGCTGTGTGACCCTGGGCAAGTCACTTAACCCAGATTGCCTCACCAAAGAAACAAATGAAAAAAAAAAAACCAGAATGGCCATTGCTGAGTGGCCCCTCCCCTTTCCTTTCTGTCCTCTCTTCCATGGCTGTTCATTCCCAGGCCAGTCTCAGGACTTTTTCTGCATAGTGTCACTGTGTCTGCAGATAGATCCGGGATGCTGCTCAGCCAGACTTTGACAGGGTCTTTGGCAAAGTCTCCTGAAATCCTCCCGGCTAAGATGGATCGTGAGGGGAATCAGCAATAGTGTCAAGTAGGTTTGAGAGCTGGATTGAATGGCCGACCCTCTTAATGGATCGATTCTCCCTTGGAGTGATACCTCCTGCTGTCTGCTGTTGAGGCTTTTTGTCAGTGACTTGGTTGGAGGGTGTGGGGTCAGCAGACCTGAGCCCTGCTGTCGGGGCCTTGTTTGCTCGGGCAGTGATGCCCAAGGTTCCTTTTGGTTCTGTGACTGGATCAACTCCGTGGATCCCTGGAGTGCCACTGAAGGACAGTCCTGACCTTTGCCCTCAGACCTCCTGGAGCATTTTGGGTGATGGCACTGGCGGCCAAGGAGCCCTGACTCCACAGCCTATGGAGATGGGTGATCTAAGGGAAGGGAAGGCTGAGGCAAGGCTGATGGAGAACATGTAACAGAAAGAACTCTCGTCCTGGAGAAAGTCGTTTGGCCTGAGTTAAGAGAAAAGTGCTTTGTGACTCTTAAAACCCTGTCCGAGGTGCCCCCATCCCACCCGGACGCCATGTGTGCCAGTGAGAGTTCACAGCGGCCGCCCAGCCTGAGATGCCTCCGGGTATCACATATACAGCCTCAGAATTAGGCTTTGGCTCCACGTCTGCTGTCCTCTGTGTGATGCTATCTTGTGCCCATGTCTCTTTGTTTGTCTTTCCCCTAGGTCAGTAGATCCATTGGTCGATGGTCAGCACCTCCTGCGGGGGAGGCCTCTACTCTAGCCAAGATGTCCATCAACCCGATGCTGTACGAGACCCAGTTTTTCGGGTTCACGCCCCAGACGTGCATGCTCAGGATCTACATCGCCTTCCAGGACTACCTGTTTGAGGTGATGGTGGCCGTGGAAAAGGTCATCTTGAAGAAGGCCAGCAGCCTTCCCGGCTGCACCCTGAACGCCATCCAAATCCGTGGCAGCACCGAGACCTTCCTCCGCTTCATGAAGGAGCGCTTCAACCGCCTCTTTGTCAAGATGGAGCAGGTGCTGCTGCAGCTGGTGCTGAACATCCCCCCGAATATCCTCCTCCCTGAAGATAGGAGCCATGAGAAGTACCCCCAGAGCCGGGAGGACTTCCACCTTCTCCAGCAGGAAGTAGAGCAGCTGCAGCTTCGGTACAAGGCGGAACTCGGGGCCAAGCACGCTCTTCTGGCGGAGCTCGAGGTCCAGAAGGTGATGCAGGCCCGGCTGAAAAAGATTCTGCACTGGTTTGATGGGCTCGGAGATGCCCACGGGCCCCTCGGCCTCGGGGAGATGATGGCCTTCCTGATCCAGCACTCGGGCCGGCTGCGCAGCATCACACAGGACGTGACGCAGAAAAGCAAGAAGCTGACGACGCAGTAGCATGTTGAGAATGAATGGATCGGGCGGTGGGGGAGGGGGGATGTGGGGGCTTTGGCTTTACCCAAGAGAAGTGATTCCTCTAGAAGACCAGGGGTGCCAGGCCCATGTTGGATACCCTACCCCTCAGTGATATCAAAGTGGGGATGTGCCCCCCTTTCAGGCAGAGTACCATTCTACAAGTCAGGACCACTGAGCACACGGGAAGGAGAGCCTTCTTTTATTCAGGTACAGACGTTTGCAAAAACTGCATCTCAGAAGGTTTTTGCTCCGAAACCTGCCTGAAGTGGATCTTTACCAGCGGAAGAGGCCACACTATTGGAAGGGTTCCCAGGTAGCTGGTTAGCAAGAAGCAAACAAGTCAGCGCTGTGTCCGTGCATGGGAGCTTCTGAAAGTGCTGGATCTCACTGGTTTCTAGAGCAAACACACACTTTGATCTTTGGGGCCAGAGAAGGGAAAGAAAGTCCAGTCTGAGGACAGTCCTGCTTTGTATCAGATACCTAGACTGGTCAGTAATCACTCCTTCTGAATCAGAACTGTGCTGAGGCCCAGCTCAGCTGCCCTGGATTTGCAGGTCAGTTTAGTTTAAAAAAAAAAAACTGACCAAAGTCCCATTTACTCAAAGGGAGGGCTCTTTGGTCTGACCTCATGCACTAGATTCGACTGAATTGTTGACCTTGTCTGGTGGTAGACATCAAGTCCCTGCCTTAAGAAGACACTTAAGTAGGTTTGAGAGCCGTCCTGCCCACAGACTTTTTTTTTCTTTCCCATTTAGCATTATGCTTTTTAAGTAAATAAGTGCTTCGCTCAGACCATAACACAAAACAGGGCAAGAGATAGCAACCCTGCCAGTTTGGCTGAAGAAGACTACAGAAGCAAAGGGCAGAGAAACAAATAAATGAGGTGCACAATTTGTAAGTGAGGAAATGATGCTAAATTTCCAGGTTTGAGCAGTGGGAAGGAGGGTGGAAGGTCTCATGATGCATCATCCTGATTTTTGTCGATTTCTAAACAGTTTGTTGTTCAGAGGGTTGCGGGGAATGGGACTTGTAAGATGCTTGACAGTTTCTGTAATGTTGAAGTGGAAATATTACTGTTGAACTAGGGATGCTTATAATAAGCAGTCCTAACAAAACATGCCAAGTGGAGTGAAATCATCAAACCTTTGGGAAACAAATACTAAAACCCCCCCTTTTAAAATGTGCGCTGTTAAAAGAAGTGCTGCGGGGCCCCTGCCTTTTTCTGAGGCACAAGGTCTCATCTGCCTGCAAGTCCTATAAGCTGTTTGTAGTCCTATAAGGTGTTTGCTGGAAAGGGAAGAGAAGGGAAGGGAAAGGCAAGATTTTGTGCATCTGAGAACTGAGCTGGCTTCATAACTGGCTCCAGGTGAGGCACTGGGGGAAACATTGATTGAGGTCACCACAGAACAGCCCCCTTGGAGTGTTTCAAGCTGGCTGTGTGCCATGACATACACTTAGGGCCTGGAAGCGTGAACACACACACACATGCACACGCACGCACACACACACACACACACACACACAAAACATGTACAAGAGGATTTTGGTGGGAGCAGCTCAGAGCTGGGAAAGCAGTGTTTGAGCTGAGTCTCGTGGGTCTTGGCAGAGATGAGGAGAGCTCCTTCCAACGAGGAGACAAAGGCCGGGAAATGGGCAGCTATGGAGGGAGAAGGCCAGCATGGCTGTAGGGAAGTAATGGGGAACATTAGTGAATCGCTAGTGAAGCAGCCAGAGGTGGAGTTTGAGGAGGAGAATTTGAAGGAGTTCTTTGGAAAGGTAAGTAAGAAGAGACAGCTAGAATCATAGAAGGAGTTGAGAGGGGAAGGAATTGGGGGGCGGGTGGTTTGCTGAAGTGCTCAGGGCCAGGAGGGTTTGAGAAACGAGGCCGGGCATTAAGGGAAGCTCTCTGGTGTTGGCAGTCTTGCCGTAGCCCAGACTGAATTATCCGTATTCCAGGTATAGGTTGATCTCCCTCCTGGAGAAGGTGAGGGCCTCAAAGGATGCCAGTCCACACTCTGGCTTCTTGGGGAGAAGAGAGAGAATAGAGATGAGATGTAGGCTTCCAGGGGAGAGAAGGGGCTCTGAGGTCCAAGAGGAGGGTTTCACCCTTGCCAGGATGATAGAGAATGGACAAGAGGTACCAGGAAGAGAAAGGGAAGGAGAAGGACCAGAGGGGGCTAGAGGTTCTGAGGAGGAGGCAGCTGCATGTCCTGCATGGCTCCTAGAGTCGTCAGATGGGAGCTCATCTGGTAAATAGCAGAGGAAGGAGAGAGTGGTGGGTGGGTGGTCATTCCCTGCTGAAGGACACAGGTGCAGCCTCTAGCTGCCCTGCTAGCAGGACTAGAGAACCCTGTTAGCAGGACTAGAGAGCCCTGTTGTCCTCTTGAGATAAGTGCCCAGGATGTAATGGAATCTCCCAAGACGCGAAAGCATCACAGCTGCCCATTTTTGGTGATCACTAACACTTCCACGAGGAGCCTCCAAAGTGTTACCAGTGATTATGAAATGTTGGTTGTGGCTTCACTGTTGTCCACCGAGGTCAAGGAGTGCCTCAGAGAATAATTAATTTGAGAAGTGAACAGCTGGCTAAGGAGATGGTGTCTTAGAATGGGATTTGGATTTCTGAATGACAGATTCCTGGCCAGAGACAGAGTACACCAACTTAAAAATGGGTTTGCCATTGTGTTGGGACAGCTCTCATGTCTTGCACATCTAAGGAGAAGGACTTTAGATTAGGAAGGATGAGGGGGTTGGGTGGCCATGCTAATCACAGAGATGGAAGACTAGCCCCTGAAACACTCAGAATTGACAGGAAACAAGATCCAAGAAAGGAGCAATAGTAAAGTTCATGGGTGCTAGCGGCTATATGCAAAGGCACAAAATTTGAGCAGTGAATGGCAAATCAAAGGCCCTAATGCAACAGGGAAGTTTTGGCTTGTAAGTATCGTGGAGACAGTAGCTCTGGGTGGGTGTCCTTCATTCAGTAGAAACGGGATAGGTAAAGGGGTGGCTTAGCCCTATGTCTTCAGGAGGGTGCTTGTGGGACCAGAGGGAATGGAGCATGCTGGAGGGGGAAAGCACCCTTTCACCACTGAGTTGACTTCATGTATGCCCCACTGGGGATATATTACGGTGCCTATTCTCTTCACAGACTGTAAATCCTTTTTCTAAAACCTCATTGAGTCTGGCTGACTGCTTGTCAATGGGAGACTCGCCACTGGGGGCTCAGCAGCAGCAGTTCTAGAAGAGGGGAGTCAGCCCCACGCTGGAGACTCCTAACCCTTGAGTTTGAGTGCTGGCTAGCGGCAATGGCCTGTGGGGGGAGGGCAAGGTGCTGCTGTGTCTTCAGAATCAGGTCCAGTGCTGTCAACATAGGTGTTTAATAAATGAATTTGTGTTTCTGTTTCCTCTTCTCACTCCCTCTCTTCTGCCCTTGCTGCACAGAGCCTTTAGATTAATAAGCATTCTCAGCTTCACTTTCCTCATCCGTAAAGTGGGGATGATCATAGCTCTACCTCACAGGATCAAATGAGGTAACTTGGGAACTGCTCCATGTATGTATTTGCTACTAGAGGCAGCTACAGGGCTCAGTGGGTAGAGCGCCTCCCTGGAATTGGGAAGAACTGAGTTCCTATCGAGCCTCAGACACTCAGTAGCAGTTTGACCCTGGGCAAGACATTTAACCTGTTTTCCTCAGTCTCCTGATCTCAAAAATGGGGATAATAATAGCATCTATTTCCTAGAGTTGTGAGAATAAAATACCCAAGGCTTCCTGCTAAGATATGCACAGGACCTAAATGAACACAATGACAACTATTCTAATAAAGACATCGAAACTATTGGAGAAATAGTTGTGGTAGACTGAGCCAATAGAATAAAAATGACATTCTGCATAAATTGGCTTATTCAGTGCTATACCAATTAAACTACCAAATAAAAATAACAAAATTCTTCTCAAGGGAGATGACGAAAAAGAATGGGAAGGAAAGAGGGAAGGGGGCTGTTGCTGTACTATAAAGCCACAATCATTGAAGCAGTTTGGGACTAGGGAGGAAGTGGACCACAGTAGGTACACACCAACAGCAGTCATAGTAGCGCAGCGTCAGAAAAACCCAAAGAGCTCAGCTGCTGGAGCATGAATGCACTATTCGATGGAAAACCGGAAGGCAGTCTGGCAGAACAAATCACAGTGTAACCCAAAACAGGGCACAAGTGGTCCATGACTTGGACAGAGGATGACATTACAGACAAATTGGAGGAGCCCTGGAAAAATTACCTGTTGGGTCTGTGGAGGGGGAAAGAGTTCACCACCAAACAAGATGTAGAGAGGGTCGTAGGACAGAATCAGTTTTTACCCATCCAAAGCCAATACTGCTAAATATGAAGAGAAACAGGTAAATGGGAAAATACTGGCAGCAGGAAAGGTCTCATTTCTAAGATATGTAGAAAAAAGATTGAAATTTATGAGAATAAAAGTCACTCACTGATAAAAGGTCAAAGGCAGTCTTCAGAAACAATCCAAGCTATCAATAGCCATATTAGAAAATGTTCTTAAATTAGCAGTAATTAGAGAAATGCAAATTAAACAAGTGTGAGGTTCTACTTCATACCCGTCATATTGGCAAAATGGACAAAAAGGAAGAATGACATTCTGGACAGTTTGTGGAAAGCAGCACACGAGTGCACCACTGGTGGAGCCATGGACTGATCCAGCCATTCTGGAGAACAGTTTGGAACCACACTCCTAAAGCTGTTTAAAGGAGCATTACTGCCATTAGGTCTGTTCCCCAAAAGATCAAAGAAAGGGACCCCTAGGTACAAGGGTATTTACAGCAGCTCTTTTTGTGGTGGCAAAGAATTGGACATTGAGGGGATGCCTGTCAGTTGGGAAATGGCTGAACAAGCTGTGGTATATGACTATGATGGAGTACTATTGTGCTGAAAGAAATGATGAGCAGGGTGGTTTTAAGAAAACCTGGGAAGACTTATATGAACTGATGCTGAGTGAAGTGAGCAGAACCAGGAGACCAATTTATACAATAGCAACATTGTAAAGACAGATAACCAACTTGGAATCCGATCAACACAATGACCAACCACAATTCCAAAGGACTCAATATGAAATATTATCCCACCTCCAGATAGAACAGTGGAGGAATGCAGATTGAGACTTTTTTAAGACATGAACAATGTGAGAAATTTGTCTATACACATCTGTAACAAGAATTTTGTTTTTCTCAGTGGTGGTGAGGGAGCAGGAGGGAGAAAATATAGATCTCAAAGTAAACTTGTTTTAAAAGGAGGCGCTTGCATTCTAATGAGGGAGAAAAGATGTACATAAATCAGCATGTTCAAGGTACATACAGAGTAGAAGGGTGACCTCGGAGGGGAAGGCCCCAGAGATCAGGGAGCCAGGCAAAGGCCTCCTATTGAAGGTGATGCTTGAACTGAGTCTGGAAGGAAGCCAGGGATTCTTAGAGGCCAAGGTGGAGAGCATTTGAGGCTTGGTGCACAAAGAAAGTGCCGAGGAGCAGACATGGCAAAGTGCACTTGACCACTCTTGACCAAGCTAAGTTGGTCCACACCCTCACCTGCTTTTTCAGGCCGGAGCGCATTTCCTGACTTTCCCTCTCTCTTGTCCCGTTCAGATGTGTGGTAACAACCATGATCGTGGCAGGTGGTGGTCAGTGCTCTTGGCTGAAGGGAAGCACTGGGCTCCCTGGTGTAGTTCATTGCTCTTCCCTGCAGAATCCTGTGGGGCACACTCTCTCAGAAGGACACAGGGAGGACCTTCCTAAAATTACCATCTACTCTTTTCCCTCTGCCTAGTGCTCATCACCAAGCTCAGAACATGCAGGTCCTGAGGACAGGTCAGTTGGGTGAAAGCACCTGTCTATA